AGTGGGACTGCTGGGTCGTAGGGAAGCTCCATGTTTAGCAGTTTGAGGAACCTCCAAACAGTTTTCCATAGTGACAACCATTGAAATTTTACCTGAGATTTGCAAAGAAACCCAACTTATTGAAAAACTCCAAATTGGTTGGAAAGTAAAATAGTTTTCTTAGAAGGTAGTATTTAGAATTAAGTATAGATATAAAGTTCATCAACTCACAGTATTAATATATGTATTAAGTTTGAGAACTGACTATGTATGTATTTGACATTTTAAGTTCCTGTCATGTTTAAGAAACTTTGGTCATATATTAGATCATCTATCATGTTAGTTTTATGAACCAAGTATAAAGTATGTGACAATTTAGACATGATTTTAAGTTTAAAGCTTCAGAGAATTTGTTAAATTTGTAAAGTTTTTGAATATTAAATGTTTATGGATTTACAAGAACTGTTAGAAGGATTTATTAATTAATAAATGAGAAGCAAAGTAAAATAAATTTATAAAAAGTTTAACATTGTAAATTATTTTAAATAAGGTATATCTACCCTGCTAAAAGTGACAGTTAAAATTTATTAATTTTTAAATAGAATATTTCACTAAACTTTAAAAGCCTAAGAAGAAAGATCAGTTTTAAAATATTTATTTCAAAAAGTAACTTCAATTTGTTTTTCCTGTCCCACAAAAACACCAAAAAGAGGTACTGACAGATTACACCAAAGATCTAGCAGGCTGTAATTCTAACTCAGTTGCTAACGTGCTTAAGCAAGTCATTTTATTTTTTGAGCCAGTGCACATTCAGCTGAACATGATGGGGCTAGTGATTTTTCTTCCCCGCACCATCTGTAATTATAAAATTGTACTATTACAAAGAAAATAATTTTGTGAAATGCCTGCCACTTAAGAATAATGAAGTCAAAATAAGACATCAACTATAGGTAACTTTAAGCCCTATTGAAGTAATGCAAGAGGTAATGAATATGCTGACCATCTTCACTTTGATTTTCAAGTAAGCAATGAGCTAATGTGCAGTAGTGTTTAAAGCTTACCTCCATGTGTTGGCATCAGGATCAAAAACTTCAATGGTTTTTAAATACGTTGTGCCATCAAAGCCTCCTACAGCCATAAGCTGTCCATTTACCACCGCCAGGCCAACCTACAGAACCAAAACAGTGGCTGTTGAAGAAACCAAACCATCATTGGGGAAGATCAGATTGGTTTCTAGATAAATCTGTTTAATAAAAGAATTCTTTATGGCCGTATAGTCTGGTTTACTTGAATACAGAAGAAAAAAAAATGAACAGTCTTTAAATTATGGGAGCTACAAAATGACTATATTCGATTAGAATATTTACAGGGCTGAAAATTTCCTTAAATTTTAGGAAAAGAATTCACTGGAAGTAAGCGTGAATATCCAGACTGTTCTCACTTCTTTTGCTATTTGCCTGTTTTAAACTGTCACTGAAATGACCTTTTTAAAATACACCTCTAATCATACTGGCACTATCCTTGAATGACCTTGTAAGCCTCCCTAACATCTAAGTTTAAGATCCTTATTATATCATTTGGGTAGTCCAGAAATCCAGACTAACCCATATTTTAGTTACACTAGCTATTATGTCTGATGCTACGGTAATACAGGATAAACTGCTAGTTCTAGGAATATCACACACGTGCACATTTTTCCTGGTTGGTGTCTCCTATTTATAGAAATTTCTTTCATGCCTAGCTGACACCTGAATTACTCTGGCCTTTTCACTACTCCAAAAGCATGAAGCATTTTGTCTAATAAATGCACCACTGAGAATCTAGCTGTATACAATTCCATTACCTTCATTAAACTGGGAACGCATAAGGCGGAAGCACGCTATACTTTTGCTTTCCCAACAATCAGTAGGAACCTAATAAATATTAGCTAAGTGAGTGGAAATATAATCAATAAAATACAGTAGTGAAAACAAGTGTAATGTGACCAAGAAGCTCCAAGATAACCGTATGCTTTATATGCTTTGACTTAGGGATGTGTACCAGTGGTGTTCCCGAATTTGTGCAAACCAGAAGTCACTCCCTTTTATCCTCAGATTATGAAGTCTTAAGCTACTACTGGGTTCTCCCATCTTTTGTCTCTGTCCATCTTTTGGATGTTGATAGAATCATTGGTTTATGTGTTACATTTCTCTCTAGGTTCAACATCCTATGACATGAAATTTGTAGTAGAGTACTCTGGGAGTCTCTTGAAATTCAGGTCCTCATGATCTAGAGAACATGATCTAGGTAAGTCTGATTTGGCTTCTAGAGCTGAAAGAGAGCAGTTTGTGGAGACTGGAGGTAGGTTCAGATGTGCTTCTTCCAAAATATGTGTACTGGTATGTCAACTACTTGGAATATCATCTAGAAATGTAAGGTAAGAATATTTACCTCTAACAGATATGGGTGAGTCTACTATCAGATACAGATATACACGGATGAAATTAGACAATGTAGTAGATAAGAGAGGAAGTTACCTTTCAGGAAGCAATTGATACCAGATCAATCATAAAAGAAACAACTTTCAGATTACAGATATTATTGGATATAAGACATCTAACTACTTGAAATAAAAGCAATTAAATTAATTTTTTCCTAGTAGAAGTAGCAGTGTTTGTTTTGCATTAACAGGGTACCTCCTCACTGACCCAGACCCTTACTTGATACTTATTTTTCAAAGTTCTCAGGAGGTGGGCACTTACTCCACTACGGCGGGATGTCATCGCCACCACTGGAGACCACTGGTTAGTTCTGGGGTTGTATCTCTCAGCACTGCTAAGCTCTGTAGTATCATCTCTCCCTCCCACAGCATAGATCATGTCCTGATACACTGCACAGCCTAGATGTTTCCTTCGGGTGCCCATAGGGGCGATGGTGTGCCATCTATTTTCCTGAGGATTGTAGCGCTCCACTGCAGGGCAAAGAAAAACCAGTCAATGACTACTTTTCCTCTCCTTTAGCTTTCTTCAGTCATCAAACACATATTTTCAACAAACAATCTGATATTTCCTTCTGGGAAGGACTTGTATACCTTTCAATGCTACCACTACAGTTCCACCAGGGTCTTGTTTCTTTAGGTAAGAATGGTGGGCATGGTATCAAGTTATAGTTCTGGCTGGCCTGCCTCATTAGGTGACTTGAGGCCTCCCTCTCTTTAAATCTTCAAATGAGATGAGCAGACTATATGATCTGTGAACACCCTCCTAAATTAGTTATTTATCATCATATGCAGAAAATTTCCACATTTTTGCATTCCTCTATGTTTCCACTAGATTCCAAGCTACTGAAGAGGAAGACAGGATAAGATAATGACTCATGTGAGTGCTTCATTGACAATATGCTTAGGCAAAATAGCTATTATTCTAAACATAAACCAATTTATAACAATGTTTTTATTCATTGTTAAAATATAGATTTTTTTTAAAGAGATGGTTGGGAAGGAAAGGAATAAAATAATATTACGGTTATAGCTTTTATTTGGAATTCCCAGAAACTTAGAAAGTAGCAGGAGGAAAAAAAAAAGGATGGGAATATATTAGAAGATGATGACTATAGAAGGAGCTGAAGAAAAGCTAATAGTTACAACTTCCTAGAGGGAAAGTAAGTTTCCTAATAAATTATTGGATAACCTGAAGTTTTTAATACTCCTTGTAGGAGACTCTTCTAAGGGAAATATGCCGCTTTTGGGGAACCAGACCGACTGTGGAAGGGATTAACCTGTGTTGAGTGGAGATGTCCCGTCAGAGCCACCTACAGCATATAAGAACCCTCCTAACACAGCCACGGCCACGCCCAGTCTTCTGGTGCTCATTGAAGCCACTCGAGTCCACTTGTTCTCCTTTGGGTCATACCTGCAGTGAGAGAAACCAAAGACTGCATGCATGCTTTTATTAAGTGAAGCCTTTCATAAGGTAGGAAATCATGCTAAATATATGTTAAATATGTAGACTGCTTGGCCAAATGCAGAGGGAATCTAACATTTTAGTTATCAGGAAAAGAAAGTCTTAAAATTGTGTCCAGTGTCCACCATTAAGCTATTTTTTATACTCTGACATGATGCTGGAGTCAAAATTCTGCAAGCTGCATTTCTCCTTTGCCAAGTTGGCTCCCTATTAGATTCTGCCAAAAGGAAGGCCTAGATGTTGGCAGCCTACAGAAGGATTTCCCTAGAGATTTCTGTCTGCTTGCTACCTGTCAGTGTTATCTCAGCACTGGTCCTCCATTATGATTATACCAGTTAATCTCAATTTCTAGCCTTTTTCTGGCACTGCTAAAACTAGTCATGTCTTGTTTCTCTTGGAGGTCTTAGTTGCAGCTCTGTGAGGCAACTTCTTTGAGTATCTGAGATGATAGTACCAGTGTTCCAGTTACCCAGTGTTGTATAACAAATCGCCCCCAAATTCAAAACAATAGCAATTTTACTAACTCTCATATTTCTTTTTTTTTTTAAAGATTTATTTTCTTATTCATATAGAACTGGGGTACAGGCAAGAGGTGTAGGTGTGGTGAGAAGATTCACCATAGACGGAGTGGGGGAGCAGAACAGGCTGACTGACAAGTACACTGTTGAGGGGAGCAGCGTGCGGGTCAGGAGAGGTCTGCCCCACCATGTGGATCACCTCCTAGGCGGGCAGGGATCGAACTCATGTGGAAGTGGCTTTAGCTTCTTAGTGCAGTGCTTTAACCCGCTGCGCCAACAGGGAGGGCTCTAACTCTCATTTTTCTATGGGTCAGGAATTTGGAAAGGGCTTCATAGGCAACTCTGGCTCAGGTCTCTTATGTGGTGGCTGTCAAAATCATGGCAGGGACCGAAACAGCAAGGTGCTGAAGCCACAGAAGTGGCTGGGTATCTCTTCACATAGCCCCAGGACATCCCAGATAGGCTTCCTGTCAGCGTGGCAACCTCAGCATAAGGCTTCAAAGGTGAGTGCTCCAAGAGATTACTGTTTAGGATGTACTGCCTTTTAAAACCTAGCTTCTCGGCCCTCCCTGGTGGCGCAGCGGGTTAAAGCACAGCACTGAGAAGCTAAAGCCACTTCCGCATGAGTTTGATCCCTGCCTGTCTCGGAGGTGACCACATGGTGTGGCAGACCTCTCCTGACCCGCCCGCTGCTCCCCTCAGCAGTGTACTTCGTCGTTCTGCCTGTTCTGCTCCCCGCTCTGTCTCTGTTGAATCCTATCACCCTCCACATCTGTGGCCTGTACTCCACTTCTGTATGAATAAATAAACAAATCTTTAAAAAAAAAAAACAAACAAAAAACTAGCCTCTCAAGTTACATAGTACTACTCCTCTCATGCTCACACCAGTTCAGATTCAAGGTCTCTCAGTGAGAAGTATTAAAGTCAAATCGCATGAAAAAGATGTGCGATGGCAGGTACTGCTGTAGTAGTCATCTTTGAAAAATACAATCTCCTCAAGTCAGCCAGGCAGCTACTCCCCCAGAGGTGTGAGTCAGTGTGAGAATACCTTCTCTCAACTTAGAGAGACCTTCAGCAGCAGGCAACACAGCTGCTGATGGCCTCACTCTGTGGTGTCTCTTTCTTAAACTTCTAGGGTCTAATAACTATGATTTTTTTTTAAGATGTATTTATTTGTGCATACAAGAATGGTACAGGTCAGAGGTGTGGGGTGTGAGAGGATTCACCAGAGACAGAATAGGGAGCAGAACAGGCAGATCTACTTAAGGACACTGCTGAGGGGAGTAGGGGGTGAGACAGCGTCATAGTGCTTTGCTTTAAACCCTTGTGCCACTAGGGTGAGCCCTCTAATAACTATGTTCTTTCCTTGGTTTTCCCAGTCCATTTATTTCAGTGTCCTCTCTTCATTTTTATTATCAGCCTTTCAATATCTGTTAGCTAATTTAAACAATTTTAAATTCTCTTTACTAAAATAATTGGCATGGTTTGTTCTTTTTTTTTTATTGGCCTTAACTGATTAATTACTAGCGACAGATGCAAATATGACCAAAATTAGTTGGAATAATGTTTGGGTATTTTACTAGGTAGAAAATTCTGTTACTATATTAAGTGTTCTATAGCAAGCAATATCAATATTACAGTTGAAATATAAAGTAAGTAATACATTCTTAAGAAGCAAGTGAGAAGGACAGCACATACATATGGGAAAACTTCCAAAGAGATTCTAATAATGAATTAATTTACAAAGATGAAAGAAACAGAAATATAAATTTGGGTGAATCAGAAATCCCGAAGAAAGGCTATGATTAGTTGGTGAAGGTTTGAATAAGGCTTATCTTTTATTACTTTTGGAAAATTCTCAAAAATTCTCTCTCTAAATATTGCTCCTGTTCTCTTGTTCTCCCTCTCCATCACTCTAGAACTTCAATTACATGTATGTTAGGCTGCTTATGTTTTATAAATTTCTTTCCAGTCCGTTTTTCTGTTCTGTTTGGATATTTCATATTAATTGGCCTTTGAGTTCATTAACCATGTTCTGCTATGTCTAGTCTATTTCTGTTGTGCCCAGTTACCCTCATTCAATGAGTTCTTACTTTTAGATGTATTTTCAGTTGCAGAATGTATTTTAGTTTTAGACTCCAATTCTATACTAAATTTTTCAAATTTTTTTTTACCATTTTTTAATCTTTTCCTCTGCGTTATCTAATATACTTATACTTTTGTAAGTCTTTTTCGCACTCTAAATGTGGATCATTTCTGTCTGCCTCTGTGGTCTATTTTCCTCTCAATTATTGTTGGGACACCGTTTTCTTTTTTTTCAGATGTGTCATAATTGTTATTGTATGATGGACATTATAACAGGGTGATGGAATCCAATGCCCTCATCCCTCAACACACACACACACACACACACACACACACACACACACACACACACACACACTCACTCACTCACTCACTCACTCACAGTCACACTGCCCTGTATTCATTTTTTTCTGTATGAGGCAGATAGGGTAAAATGTTGATCACCTTAGTCCAGTCAGGAATTGAGTTTTAGACCCCTTCCCTAGAGAGGATTTTGTCTCCTAAGCACTGTAAATGGCATGAAAATTCCTCATCCTGGTCTCCTCGTATCCTGTGCCACCTCAGTCCAATCCCATGGAGGAAACAGAGGTACGTACATTCACAATGTCATATAACTAATTGCTAAAACTCATCCATTGATTCTTAGCTTTTTTTTAATCTAGTGCTGCTTTCCTGAAGGAATGTGGAGATTTAAAAAAATTGGCCTGTCACTGCTATGCTAAGAGGAAGTCCTCTTACATAGTTTTTAAAGTGGAAAAATAGGTTTCTTGACAGAGATAAAAGGGAACTGGCATAACTTACAGGAGCTACCTGTAACTTTATTTAAGATGGAATTATGTTTACAACTTAAACATGTCAATTCATGTAAATGCTATTTCAAAAATTCTGAAGCATCATGAAAGGGTGAGGTCTTTATAAAATCTATTAAATGAATATTACTACTTTAATCATTTCCCTGGAGGAAGTCTGGGCAAAGTCACTCATTAAGTACACTTCAAGTAGACTGGGGAAAAAAATCAGAATAGATTTCAAAAGTGGTACACATGACATCCTATGTAGCATGTAACTTAAGGTATGTTTCCAATACTTTGACTTTAGGCTCAATTGGTGTAATGCATAGTTTTCATCTTCTAGACTGTACACTCAACTGCAAACTCTTTGCTTAAGGCCTAGGAGAAACCCACTGCACAGTGGATCCCCTACTATCCTAAGCTGGTTCTTTTAAAGACTCTTCTATAACCTCTAGAAGTAACTGAGAATAACTTAAAAAAAATGTCACCTCTCAACAATGTTGAGGCAAGACACACCATCCTGGCCACCCACGGCATAGAGAAAGCCTCCAAGCACGGCCACACCGACACTTGTCCTGCAGGTGCTGGTGGGAGCTACGTCGCTGCTCCACTGGTTTGTTTTGGGGTCATACCTGCAAAGAACACATCAAAAGCAGAATGTGTATTACACAAAGTTTGCCGGTTTGTTTCCATTTTTTGTAAATCATTTTTACATGCAAGTTACATATGAATGTATTTCCTTTTAAAAATAATTTTAGAATGTTATAGATAAAACTAATGCTTGAGTTCCACGCAAATTCTAGTCTCTTCCCATTTTGATTTAGTAGTATAATATTCAAGTCTTTTCAGTAAAATAATCTTAAGCAGGCATAGGTCTATTCATGCATATATTTCTTACATGAAAGCATGTTTTCTTTACATAAATAATAATTGTATTGTTTGTTCACTCAAAATATTTTAAAATAATTTTTTATATCTTTCATATCATTGTGTATTACCCATAAAATTCCCACCACCAGTTTATCCATAAGCCTCTTCATCATAGTCCCTCATTCTTTTCTCTCCCTGTTTTGATTCCTTTTCTTCCGCCTCCCTTTCAAAATGTCTCTTATTTATGATTGTCTGCTAGTTATTATTACTATTGTTACTTTTCTCCTGATCCCTTATTTGGTTGCACTATATTCCTCCTGTAAGTGAAACCATTTTTTTTTTCCTTCTGGATTATTTCACTAAGAATGATCCCTTTTAGCTCCATCCACATTGCTGCAAATGAATAGCATGACTTTCTCTTTTTTGATTGCTAAATAGTATTGCTTTTGTGTATATATACACCACATCTTCTTGATTTAGTTATCTATTTTTGGGCATTTGAGTTGTTTCATACCTTACCTATTACAAATAGTGCTGCAATATAGGGGTTGCAGGTGTCCTTTTGAATTAATGTTTTTGTGTCCTTTATGTAGATTCCTAGTAACGGAATTGCTGGATCATTTGGTAGCTCCTTTCTCAGTAGTTTGAAGAACCTCTACACAGCTGTCCATAGTGGTTAGAACAGTTTTCACTTCCATAAGCAGTGTAGGAGAGTTCCTTTTCCTTTGCATCCTCACCAACATTTGTCATTTCCTGCTTTTTTAATGTGTGCCATTCTCACTAGTGTGTGGTGGTATCTCATTGTGGTTTTTATTTGCATTTCCCTGATTTTTAAAAAAGATTTATTTATTTATACATACAATAACTGAGGTACAGGCCAGAGATCCAGGAGGGTAGTGAGAGGATTCACTAGAGACAGAGTGGGAAGCAGAATAGGCAGATCTATTGAAATACACTGCTGAGGGGAGCAGTGAGCAAACAGGAGAGGTCTAATATGCGATATGTGGGTCAACCCCCTTGCCAGGATTGAAGTCCATGCTTCAGTGGCTGCAGATAGCTTCACAGTGCTGAGACTTAACCCCTTGAGTCACCAGGGAGGCCCCTTATAATATTTTTTAAATTTTATTAGGTGTGCTCCTTTTTATAACTTCTTGATATAAAAGCATGATTTACTTATTTTCCCATCTTTTGTATTTTCAAATGAATGCATGTATATTATGATAGATTTGCCTTAAAATACCTCTGTTGCATTCCACACATTTTGATATATGGGCCAATTGTCATTAAGTTGTAAATATTTAGTCACTTCCACTCATTTCTTTATTTAACTCATCACTTTATTTTGAATTATTCATTTTAAAACACTTGTATGCAGCTGATCCATTTAAAAAAATTTCTAGCTACTCAGTCTGTACCTCTAAATCTTCAGATGCTATAAGGGTTACAGATAAGTACCTGCCTGTCATGCTGAATGGATTGGTTAACAGCTAGTGCCATAGGTGCAGCAAAAAAGCAGCAAGTTACATTTGTGAGTAGTAGAGAAACAATTTCAAGTAAACCTTACCTTTCAACACTGTTGAGATAAGAGGATCCATCATGGCCTCCTACTGCATACAACAAGTCATCAAGAACACTGACCCCAACTCCACATCTCCTTTTGCTCATTGAAGCTACCATTCGCCATTCACTGGCCTGTGGGTCATATCGTTCAACACTGGAAATAGCGTCTCCACTGCACCAACCCCCAACTGGGAAAATAACAGAAATGGTCAGATACCTACTTAAAGCATAGACTCTAGCACTTACTGCTAACCTAAATTTTTACCTAATACTTAGACTTTTCTAAAAGCAGGTCAAAATATAAGTTACTGTACTGGGATTGTTGGAATTTTTACTTACTTTCCCAAATACATTAGTATTAGTATTTTATGGAATATGGAAAGGACACCAATTCAAATCAAATTGGGAAGTAATATGGTATTCAATGACAAGAATGCAAAACTTGTTCAGTGAGAAAACTGGGGCTTGAGTGTTGCCTTTATTAGATATGTGATCTTGGGGATATTCCATAGACTACTTATTTACAGAATAAGGAATAAAAATAAAAAAGTTAAATGTACTCTTATTAGATCCTCTTATAACTGAAAATAATTAAAATTCTTATGATGTATATAACAAAATATTTTGCTTCCTATTTAATCTACATTCTGTGCTGACTCTTACATTATCCAGCATGACACTTAAGATCAGAAAACATTTAGAAGAATTCTATTTTCTATAGTTAGTGCTCAGAATTGCAGGTTTAAATCAAATGCTGTAAAACTTGTCTGAGTACTCCATGAAAACAAATATGATTACGGCAGATACATTTGTTATTTTTCAGACAATTTATTTTAATTTTAAATGAAAGATAGGTTCTGGTGCTTAAAAAATTAATTAAAATTATATCTTAATCTCAGAACATCTGAAAATGAGTGTTTTCTAGGAGGGATCTCAGACTAAAACGGGAATAAAATTTTTAACCTTCTAGCTGGATCTGAAAACTTACTTCAAATCTCAATGTGCTGTATACTTTTTATTTTTTATATTTTAACTTTTGAATCAGAATAATTAACACTAGACTATGGCAGTTTTTATGTATACTGTTTTGGTTCAATTTTAATTTTGTTCTAGGATATATGCCAGGAGTTTCAATATCAGAGAAAACATCCTAAACTAGAAAATTAAGATTGCTGCAAAATATGAGGATCATAAGCATTTGAGATGAACAACTTAGTCATTATATCTTAGGCACAATTTTATAATGGCGCCATTACAGTTAGTTTTTTATTGGATTACTGGATCCAAATCAAATTACTACTTCATAAACAGTTTTCAATACAAGAAAAAAAAATAGTCCTTTAGGGCATTGAAATCTCTCCTATGACTTATGGAGACAGGAAGAGTAAAGGGTTTATTCAATTTCACTGCATCATGGTGATTTTGCATGCATTATGATTTCCCAGACTACAGGTGACAGCTTCATTGAAACATATCTACAAGCTAAGTACACTGTACTTAGTAAAGTAAGTGTACACATAGTCCTTGCTACAAGGACTCTCAGTTTATCAATGTACCTAATGGAAAACTGATAAAAAGGGAGACATGTATTTTATATGTGCAAGATAATAACTTTAAAGGAATTATTTCAAAAAGAGAGCCAATCAAAAAGTGTGACAATGAAGGTAAGGCTGATTGAAACCGGGGCAAAAACCAAAACCAAGAATATCAAACAAAACAAAAACAAAAAATTGTTAAGCATTAAGAAGCTTAGTGGAAAGTAAGAGCAAAAGCCATAAAAAGAGGCACCAAAAGTAGTTAAATGCTCCTGAGTGAAACAACTCCTGGGAGATTAGAGATCTTATGCTTCCAGGGTTTATTTTATTTCCAGAGTGATGAATAAAGACCCAATTTTCCAAAGCTAAGTGAGAATTGGTGATATGGGATTCCAAAGATAATAAAAATAAATTGCAATGAAAGCCAAAGCAAGTTAAGGATTAAGTTATAAGTTGTGACAGAGGGTCAAGGTCTAAAATAATGTAAATGAACTGTACCACTCAAGTCTGGAGCTAAGATCTGGAAAACATAACACGACTGACAAAGCAGGGAAAACCAGTATCAACTGTAAGGGAAAAGATCTAGTGATTTTTTGCTGCAGATGAAGTTAGAAATCTTGATGGCATAAAACAGGTGATAGATGAATTAACTTCTTAAAAAAGATTTATTTATTTAGGCACACAAGAACTGGGGTACAGGCCAGAGGTACGGGGAGTGACAGGATTCACAAGAGACAGAGTGGGGAGCAGAACAGGAAGATTTACTGCAATTAACTCTGAGGGAAGCAGCAGAGGAGACAGGAGAGGTCTGCTGTGCCATGTGGATCAGCTCCCTGACCAGGGATCAAACTTATGCTGTGGCTGCAGATAGCTTAATAGTGCTGCACTTTAAGCCCTTGTGCCACCAGGGAGGCCCCTAACTTTTCTTCTTATTATTTTTGTTAATAAAAATTTCTATATGATATGTGTATTCACTTCTATAATCAGAAAAACAAGTTGTCATTTAAAAAATAGGTTATTGTTTATATATAAAGTGACACAAGTAATCCATAGTTGCTACAGGCATATGCTTATGATTTTCCTTTCCAACTAATCACAGTAGGCTGATTCTAAACACTCACTAGTGTCCCTCAGGATCACAGCATGCAATTAATCTTTGTTGAATACAATACTGCTAAACATTATGGAAACTAAAAAGATAAATAAGAAATGGCCCTTAGCCTTAAGCAGGAGTTTGCACTGGAGAGGTAGATGCGAGTCTGTGTGCACAATGGAGAGTCTACATCCATAGTACAGTGGGGGGTGGGGTGGGGGTGGGGCCGAAAGCAGGGCTTAGGCCAGAGGAAGAACACCAGAGAAGATCAAGGCACTCAGAGTCAGAGAGAAAAACAGTGCACTCATAAATAGGGGAACCTGAGAACAGCGAAGTCTTGTTGACTGCTGGTGTGAAGTTTGTGAGAAGTGATTATTGCCTTGAGCTTGGGGCACCAGATGTAAATAGATGGAGTCTCAACTGGTGGGAAGGGCTAGACTGGCTCACCTGCCTCACCCCCATGGAGGGTCAAAGCCAAGATAACAATAAAATGGTATAGCACCTCTAACCAAATTCAAAGCACCTGGGCCCTAGTAGCAGAAGTGAGCACTGTAGGGCAAGGATCTGTATTTGAGAGGCAGAAAGTTACAAACTCTGGTCTAAATTCTGCAGTAACCTCCTTATACCCTACTGCTCTTACTGCTCTCTTCTACCCACTGTGGCATTAGTGTTTTGGTCATCTGAACAGTTGTAGAGGCTTCAAGCTATGAAGCCTCTATGGATCCCAGGTAAATAATCTAGGATTATATCCTGCAACCTTTGAACTACATACAAGGTCAGTGTATCAGGATGAGAAAAGAAAACTCTTTATTTCAACCTAAAAATGAAAAGATAGGAACATACCCAAAAGGTGAAACAAAAAAACCTGGAAGAAGTCTCAATCGAGCAGATCTGTGTAACTTACCAATGAGGAATATAAGGTAACAACTATAACTATGTTTGCTGAAATAAAAACAATGATGAACAAAAGCAGGAATATAGTAAGGATAGAGTGAAGATGAGAATGCTTCAAACAGATAATGGACCTAAGTAATGGCATAATGGAACTAAAAAATACGTCTACGTTCAAGAGCAGACAAATATAGATAGTTGATAAATCAATGAACTTGAGTGCACAGTAGTGTAGAACACATAAATAGACCAGCAAAGAGAAAAGAGAATAAAAAGGAAAGCAAGCATTGTAAGAGCTCTTTAAAAAGAAATAATATCCACATAATTGGGTGTTCCAGAAAGAGAAGAGAAAGACATAGAAAATTTATTCAAAGAAATAATAACTGAGAATCTCTATAATCTCCATATATCCTGATCTAAACCCCAAAGAATCCCCCCAAAATAATGTCAAGCAGACTTACCCCAAGGCATTATTATAATCAGTTACAAACTAGTGACAAGGAAAGAATACCAAAAGTATCCAGAGAAAGATTTACATACAAGGAAACACAACTAGTTCATATATGGACTTCTTAGTGTAAACTTTACAGGCAAGAGGGGAATGGTAGTAGATACTCAGAAAAATATTTCCAATCTAGAAAACTTTCTGTCCAGACTATCATTCAAGACTGAAAGAGGGATAGGGGACTTTACAAAAAAACAAATATTAAAAGAGTATGTCACATTAAACTGGTCGTGAAATAAGTACTAAAGGGAATATTATAAAATAACAACAAGCTTCATATAGAAGTAATAGACACCAAAATTACACAATGTAGAGGAGGAACAGAGTAAAAATATGGACCATAAGAATGAGTTTGGAGATCAACCCAGTCAATAGGTCACAAATACAGACCATCAAACACAAACCTCAATGTAATCGTCAAAAAAAAAGTCACTAGAGGTAACATACAAGACAATGGAAATGAAACCCAAGCAATACATAAAAGTTGTCAAAAATATTCAGTTTGGTCACGGTATATTGGTCACAGACCTGCAAAAAGTACTTCTCCACATCGAATAGGTTTCCGTGGTCTAGTCCTTGGTCCTTGCATTAGTGGTCGTTCTTGAGGCAATAGGAGGTAATTTTTAGCCTCATCTACCAAGTCCCTGTGAAAAAAATTCTTTATTTCAAATGTCAGAACAACATAGTCAAACCCCAATAAGGTTCAGGAATATGTAAGTGGACAAAGGAAGCCAAGCATAAATCAAACAAAATCATGAATGTCAGTCAACATTGAGTCACAAACAAGCACTAAGTGCAGGTAAGTCACAGTATTTATATCATGACTTCATATTCTTGAAGCAAATTTTGCCTAAAACTCAACATGCTTGGAGCCAACAGTAACTTATGGGAAATTAAAAATTACAACACAATTACCAACTGCTAGTAATTAGTAAGTAAACAGTAACAGTAAATAGTAACTAAAATAGTTATTCCTCTCTAGTGAATTTTATTAGATTCTGCACAACGGGGACAAAGCAGCATCTGTCATGGCACTATATATTTGATACAGTAAAGTGGTAAAAATTGGATTGCTAAAAAAGAAACACTGTATCCTCATTTAATATTAATTTTTATCTGGCACTGTAATGAGTAGTTATGCTCAACAAATCTGCTGTGGAAGAAAAGATTTCTTCTCTTTTGTAAGTTACTTTATGAGACGAACTTAGTAAATTACACTTGTTAAATATAATGCCCTAATACAAACTGGGATTTAGTGCCTTAAGCAAATTTAGTCTAATACTCTTTTCTCTTTCTACTTTGAAATAGTTTAGAAAACTATAGTATATTTTCATTTCTCTAAGTTATTTTATGTAACAAAGAATGATTTATTACTGGGCTAGTCCTAGATATGACTCAATGTATTTTTCAATATATGGCTTTGCAAAGTTTACTTCTAAATAAATTTACCCTAACTCCCTCCTCCAACACCCACCCCAAAGCCCCAAGAAATAACCAAGAGTTTTTTCTAGCTTTCTCAGCCTTAAAAACAAAAACTGATCTAATACATTTTAATAAAATTAAAATAATTTTAATCAAGATATTCAGGGATTCCTTGAAAGTGCACTATTAGCAAGCCAATACAAAATTAACAAAAATACAACTATGTACTAGAACCTGTCTTAAGGGCTTAATAGATATTAACTCTTTTAAAATCCATCATAGCCCTCTGGAGTAAGTACTATCCACAAACCTACTTTATAGATGAAGGAACTACAGAAAGAGACTTGCCTAAGGTCACACAGCTAATGAATGGAGAGGTCAGGATTATCAGGTAGTTCCTTCTCTTACAAGTGATTTCATAAATACTTTGCTTCCAGGATCAATATAATGTGATTTACATATTATAGAGGAGTGTACATAATTTACATGGTTTTCTTTCTGCTATTAACAAATCTTTAGGGGAATATTAACTGATACTTATTTTCTAATTTAAAAGATAAACTTTTAATATCCCTTTCAATAATAGTTCCTGCTAAAAAGGACCAGCTTCAGTTTATAGAAAATGCTCTACCCCTAGTTCTAGAGATTCCTGATTCTCGAACAAGTTTCTTTAGCTACCCGGAAACTTAAAGGTCAATGTAGTTTAAAGGTCAGCGCATTGGTAAAAGCAATTTATTAAATTTGATACATATTACAGAGATATTCCTATAAAATAGGTATTTTGTTTATTTGCTTTGTAAAAGTATTTAGAGTTTCTTTCAATCAAAAAATGTTATGAAACTGCCTCACTAAGCTCTAGGTGAAGTTGATCCATAGCTATTTTAGGAGTTAGGTGTACTTTTTTATTTTAAAGTTTATTTTTTTTAAAGATTTATTTATTTATGCATACAGAACTTGGGTACAGGCCAGAGGTGCAGGGGTAGTGAGAGGATTCACCAGAGACAGAGTGGGGAGCAGAACAGGCAGACTGATGAAATATACAGCTGAAGGGAGCATTGAGCAAGACAGGAGAGGCCTGCTGCACCATGTGGATCACTTCCAGGGCTAGGGATTGAACTCATGCTGAAGTGGTTTTAGCTTCTTAGTTCTGTGCTTTAATTCCCTGTGCACCACCAGGGAGGGCCCCATAGGTACACTTTTAACTCTGTTCATAATCTTAGAAAACAAGGGAGGACCTATTTCCTAAATGGGCATATGTGATGGAATGAAAAAGTATTCCTGACATACTGACAGAATCAACAGCATTATTTATTTCAAGAAAAAAATATTAGTAGACTCGCCTCGTCAAATTCAAGCTTGCATTAAAATCTTAGAAATCTACCTTTTTATTGCCACTTCTACAACAATAAGCATCACACATAAAAAACTAATGAAATGGGACACTGGAAGTTGGTCCTTTATTCTTCCATCTCTTCCTTTTAACCCTAGCCCAGAAGAAAAACCTGTTAAATACTGCCTGAGTTCAGCACTAAGAAATACAATTTTTAGAAAGGAACACAAATAAGGGAGAAAATAGGAAAATAAAAGGAGGAAAAATAAGTGCTTAGTTGTTAATTTTTTCCCACCTAGCGTCATCCATACCTGCATTCTTCATCACTTTTAATGAGGGGGTCGGATCCTACAGTGCCCACCAGGAACTTGGGACTGAGCAGGGGCAGGCGAACATGCTGTAGTACCTATAAAATAACAAACACTATTACAGGCATGAACTCATGTCTACAAGATAATTAGGAGAATAAATAACCTTTGATCCCCTATTGTGTTTTCAATTAATTTGGCATTTAATTTATTAATGGATTAATTAATAATGAAGAGCGAGAGAAAGTCATAAGTACTAAAACTAAGTTAAGTTTATTATAACCATCAATTCAGCAATTAGAATGATCAAAAAAAGCTGAAAGTACATGAACATCACTTTAGATTGTTGCTTTAAGCTTTCAGTTCTTCTATAATAGCTTATACAACTGGATGTTCATTAATAGTCCAGAACAATATCCTGCTAAATTGTTAAAGGTTACTGTCATAATAAGTGACCACTTAATGCCCATATCATGCTTCTCTAATTTTAACCATATGGTGTGGTTTCTAAGACACAGGGAAGGGAAGCATGATAATCACCATCCTTGCTTTTGCTCATTTTGTACTATTTATGTTCTGATGTGTGCTACTGCCTAACCCTAGAGTTGATGCAAAACAGTAAGGAAGCAAAGGAGCAAAACATTCAGAAAGATAAATATTGAAAAAGCTTCTGATCACATATTTCCTTCATTTTTAGGAAACAGATGGGCAATCTTACAGTAATTTTCTCACTTTCTTACAGTCTAACGTAAGGAACAGTGATGACACTTTTTTTTTTTTTTTTGCTAATCAAAATACGTATTACTTCATTCAGTATAAAGCAGTTACTTAAGAAATATTTGTATCATACCTGGGGTAACTGAGGTCGTCTTTCTTGAATACTGTATTTGACCCAGGCCATCACTGCATTGAACACCTGTTCTTCACTTCGGACATTTAGTTCATCACTAGATATTATATCAATGAGTTGATTGGCTGGAAGTAACATAAATTCTTCACTTTCCATCACCTGTTAAAAGACAGGTAAAAGACACAGCCCTGTGATCGTATTTTTTATTTCATTATTTTTTCTTCAGGGTTATTTGGCAACCTATTCTATAATGGAGCTGATGTTCAAAACAGTATCAGATAAACAAACAAAAAAGGGAGCAAGGATAGTAGATAGAGCACAGAAAAATTTTAGGACATTGACACTACCCTGTACAATACTACAATGGTGGATACATGTCATTATTAGACATCTGTCAAAACCCATAGAAGGAACCGCCAAGAATGAACCTAATGTAAATTCTGGACTTTGGGTGATAACGACAAGTCAAGCCAGGTTCACAAGTTGTAACAAATGTACCACTCTGGTGTGGACAGCAGGGAACACTGTCCCTCTATGGATATGGGGGTACATAGGATCTCTGCTTTCTGCTGTGTGTTATATACCTAAAACTGCTTTCAAAAGAAAGTTTATTAGTTTTGAAAATGAGGAACAAGAGAGTACAGAGGATATAATTAGAATTCAAAAAGCAATTCTAATTCAAGCAATTTAAGAAATATTATATTCTTTACCCAAAAGTATCAAAACAAAATTTATACTGAAAATAAGCAAAACTAACTTACCAAGTTTTATCTCCAGGTATATAAAAGGCATATTATAAAAAAAGAAAAAATAGGAAAGTTTTCAGAGGAAGAAGAGTAGCCTCTCAAAGGGCCAGTCCAGGGCAGAAATACCAACGGACCAGTTTTATAAAAAAAAGAATTCGGTGTCAACAATTTCACAAGCAAGAATGAATGTAATGAGGATACAGTTAGACCCATGAAAACCTTTGAGGCCCAAAGCACTGCAAAATACAGATTTTTAAGATCTTGGGATTTGTGACTATACTGCACAAGAAGGTAGTACTATTACTGCCATTTCAACTTATGGGTAAAAGTTAAGTAATCGGTGCATTCAAAGCTTCTCAGTGATAAACTTATGTTTATCATTATTAGATATAATCACCCATCTGTTCACACATACATTCCTGATACATACATGATATAAAAATATCTGAATGAGAAATCCTCTGGGGTTCATAAAATCAGACAGGAAACCTGTGAATTTTAGCTAATGTTGTTTAGCCTAGGTTACTGACAAGTCAGTAAGATACAGAGGTTGCATTTTCTCTCTGTGATAGGTTGTCAGATTTAGCAAATAAAAATACAGGTTTTAAAACTTGCTGTTTATCTGAAATTTAAATTTAACTGGGTAGTCTGCATTTAATTTGGCAATCCTATGTGGCCAAGTTCAGGGCCTACCTTCAAAATGGTGTGTGCTGGCCTTCATAGCAGGCAAAATATTGGGTATGGCTGCTTCTTACTTTCCTCTAACTTCTCTTTTCTTATTTAACACAAATATGGTATTTTTGTGAAGTGCCTGAATATTCTTTTGGATATTGTCAGAGCATAATTCTTCTCCCCAACTTAGTGATTATAAATCAGAAGTGATATAAATATCAATGATCACCAAGTTTAAATTTATGAAAACTCAACATGATTTATTATGAATCACTCACAGGAAACATGAGGTTGCGAGATATGAAAATCTGTGTGAGAAAATACTTGTTTGGCACTAAGAACAAAGAGTAAAAATAATGCTTCGGTAAGTCTGGTTAAAATGTCACTTCTCCTTTTCTCATCCACAAGAAAATGATATTAATGACCTAGTATTAAGACAAATCTAGCATTGAAGTCTATCCTTGAGTTAAATAACTAGGTTAAGAAAATAATACTTCTAAATACTGATCTGTAGTTTTCTTTTAGAACCTGAGGTTTTGATAGCAGGGTGATTATATTCTCATAAAATGAGCTGGTAACCTTTCCCTTTCTTTCTGAAAGATTTTCTGTAAGATTAGTATTAAGATCAGTATTATTTCTTCCTTAAATTTAAAGAGAGGTTTTAAAATTATGAATTCAGGTTCCTTCACAGATAGTATTATTCTAATTTTGTTTCTTCTTGAATATGTATTTGCAATTTGTGTTTTTCAAGCAACTTTTTCCATTCTATCTCAGTTGTTAAATTTCTTGGCAAAATCTTGTTCATAATGTTCTCTATTATCTCTTTTAATTCTAAGGAATCTGTAGTGGTGTCCTTTTTTTATTTCTGATAAAAATTGTGTCTTCTTGCTCCCTTTTTTATTGATTAATACAGATAGAGGTTCATCATTTTTTCCCCAAAGAACCACTGATTTTTGCTCAAAATTTTATGCTCTTCTTCTTTCTACTCCCTTTGAGTTTAATATGCTCTTCATTTGCTCATTTACAAAAGTAACCACTGAACAAAAATATAAGCCTTCCTATAGGCAAAAGGAAGTTAAAAGAAAAAGCAGCCACTATTTAGAGAAAGAAATACAGTAAACTAGGTTAGACATTATTTGTAAAACATATGACAGAGTTAAGAACAAACATCAGTGATAGCAATAAATAAAAGCTAATTTTAGTTGCCTATTTAAGTGAAAAAATGTCCAGTGACTCATAAAGTACAACCTAATACCATGTAGATTAAAAAAACAGCTAAAATATGATGCCGAAAGGTAAAGGGATGGGCAAAGAGACATCAGACAAATAGAAACAACTACTACTGCATGATCAAAAATAATTAAGCAGAGATGAAAAGTAAAATATTGGGGAGAGGGGAGGTTGTAACATACATTAAACAAAACAAAACAAAACAAAACAAAAAGGCTATCACTGTTAATACTGAGAGAAATTTAAAACATTATGGAGAAATAAAGACCAGAGATCAAGTAGAAAGATGAGCAAATGATATTTAAAAACTCTTAAAGCAGACCTTAAACATATGAAATATATTCACTTTTAAAAAGAAGTGCAAATTTAAAATCACAGTGAGATTCTATTTCTTGTCTATCAACTTGGAAAAATCCAAAAGGTTGACAATATAGTTTCTTGAAAATAATTTTGAAAAAAACAGTAACTCATTTAATACTGGTTGGAATGGTTCAATCCCTACAGAGGGCAATTTGGTGATGTTTGACAAAATTACATGTGCAATTATCGTTTAGCTCTCAATACCATTTCTAGGGATTCATCTGGAAGACAAAACTCCAATGATAGCAAAATATTTATAACCAAGGCTAACCACAGCAGCTCTGTTCATAATGGTAAAATATCGAATACTGTCAAAATGCTCAAACGTAAGAGACTGACCCTGGTGCCAGAGACAAGCTCTAGTACATTCACACATGGATACAAAGCTGCTGTGAAGCCTGAACAAGGGGGCTCTCTCTGAACTGATATGAAATGAATTCCAGAATCTCTTAAATGACAGAATGCAATAGAGTACAGAATGCTGGCTTTTGTGCAGGAAAAGAAATGGAAATTAAAAAGAAAAAAAATGTATCTGCTAATTTTTGCAAAAGGACAGGAAGGATAAACCAGCCTAGAAAGTATCCAGACTCTAATTCTATATGTATAATTGATTAGAATCAATTGATTATCACTTTGAGCAAGGAAAATTCTTTTACAGCAGAATTAGATAGAAAAAAGTTAAAAAACAATCATTTTGTGCCCACTCCTAAATATGTCTTTGGCAAAAGGATGGTTTTTTAAAAAAGATTTATTTATGCATAAAGAACTGGGGTACAGGCCAGAGGTACAGGGGCAGTGAGAAGATTCACCAGAGACAGAGTGGGGAACAGAACAGGCAGACTGATCAAGTACACTGCTGAGGGGAGCAGTAGGCGGGTCAGGAGAGGTCTGCTGTGTCTAGTGGATCACCTCCAGGGCTGGTACTGAATTCGTGCTGAAGTGGCTTTAGCTTCTTAGTGCTGTGCTTTAATCCACTGCGCCACCAAGGCAGGCCCAGGATGATTTTTTGAGTGGGGTTCTGAAGGCTGTATAGGAGAGTATTTTGAAAAAAGGTATTTATATGTAAACTCTCTTAAGATTCCTCACTCATTGGTGGCACAGGGTAAAGTCCGAGGCTATCAAGCTATCAGTCACTGCCAGCCAGCTATTGCAGCATGAGTTTGATCCCTGGCCAGGGAGTTAACCCATTCCTGTCTCACCTGCTGTTCCCCTAAGCAGTGTTATTCCAGGAGATCCACTCTGTCTCTGGTGAATCCATTCATCCTCCACCCCCCCCTGCCTATACCTGTTCTTGTATGCATTAAAAAAATAACAAAAACTTAATAACAACAACAAAAAACTATTCACTGCACTAGAAGATCTAAGCTCTGTGTCTTTTTTGTGGAGAAAAAATTTTAACTTGCACACCTATGTTGATGTGTCTTCCTTGGCAAGCTCATCTATTGATCTTCTCTTTCCCCAACCTCTCATTATAAGCTTAACTATTTAAGAAGACATCTGAAGTTTTGTGGGGTTTATTCATGTGTTAGTCAGTTTTATGGGGTTTATTCATGTGTATAGGAGGTATACATGTAACTAGTACACTTTTTTAAACTTTTCTTAATCTATCTGCTTCTTGCTTGTCAGCCTAGAAGAATCAAAAGGGCTGGCTGTAGGCTGATTTCCTTTGTGTCTCAGACTCCCAAATCTCTGTCCATTATATACAAAGGCATGGAATGATGAAATTGCTCTTTTCTCTAAATCTGACTGGTAGGAGAAAATATTGTTGAAGCTAGCTTCTTGGGTGTTGTGTGATTGTTTTAGCTTTAAGAGTTTCTTTCTTGTGACAATTCATTGGTTTTCATTGCTCCTAAAAGACTTGACTCTGGCTCCAAAAAAAGGCACTGTCTTCCCAGTCTTTTCTTTGTTTTCCTTGATATTTTATTTTCAGGATCTTTTTTCTTAGAATTGAGATCTGGTTGTGTTTTGTTCACATTACATATTATGTGTTGTTTTATGTTGTGAGGTTCAGGTAAAGGCCTTCTACCTCAAGGTACTGTTGTTCTGTTCTATTCCATGGGTATCGATTTGGGTTCCAGGATCTTCCCCCGAAGTTGTTCCAGACGATGTCTGGAAAAGTTCCCTTCCTCCCCCATCCAAGGCTATTTTTTGTACTGTCACTATAAGAAGGAAACATATTAATGTGCACTTAGATAACAGTTATTGCTAAGCAAATCTTGAAAGCCAAAAAGCTACCAATATTGTTGGACATGGGTCAAACATTTAAAAACCAAGAGAGTTCTAGTCACCTGAAAAAGAAATCTCCATTGGCAGGATGAACTGGCTACAGTTCTGGTTCTAAGAGATCCATTCCAAAATAAAAAATCTGCCATTCCAAAATATACCTTTGGCAAAAAGATGATTTCATGGGATGGGTTCTCAAGGTTCAGAGATTGCTTTTGAAAAAGACATTTACATGTAAACAACTGTGTACTGCCAGAACTTAATCTACTAATGTCTTTTCTATGGAAAAGGCAGAACTTAAATCTGCCTACCTTTGTTTACTGTCCCTGCCTAGACAAACTCCCTGGCTCATTTTACCCCCTTTCCATCTCCAGCCTCCCTTGTTTTAATGTTGCAAGTAACTATTTTGGTAGGTCTTACTCATGTACACAGGATATATACATGTTATTATTAAACTTTTTGATTTATTTTCTCACCTATAGACAGTTGTCTGATGAAAAGAACCAAGAGGGTTATGGGATAATTGTTGTGCTATAATAATAGTAATTGATTCAGGCAGAAATTACCAAAGGATGCTAAAATCTGAGTGAAAGTTTGACTAGAACAGGATAATTACATGGATTCAAAGCACTTCTCCATAAAAGTTTTCTTAATTACAAAAGGAGAAAAAAATAGGAGGCAGTTTGGGGGCTTCCATTAACCAAGTGATCAAAAACACACTGAAGGGTTCAGGAACAAGGAAATATGATACAAGCAAATTTTTCAGAGAAAAAATTTAGATAATGAGAAAAATAAACAAATATGGTAAGATATTAACAACCTAAAGAGTAAATAAGGTTTCTTTTCCCCTATAATTTCTTGTAAATTTGAATTTTTTTGAAATTATTTTTCAGTCTGGAAGGTTAAACACAAGTATCTAGTTTATACATATATTTAATTGCACAAAAGGGCAAGTATTCTTTCAAACGTTTATTTTACATTTGGATATCTGTTTTATGCACATTGCTTAGTCATACCTTGTCCATTTTCTACTGTGCTTTTCATATTTTTTTCTTATTTGAATTAGTATGAATTTTATGGGAATTAGTGTTTTTTTTTAACCAGTTGTGAAAGTTCCAAATATGTTTTCTGAGTTTGATGTTGACTTTTTTTGACTTAGCTTATGGTGCTTTTTTATTATTTCTATTTATAGCAATTTATTATTTATCTATTTGCTCTTTAGAACAAAATTTAAAAATTTAAATGCACTTCTTTTTATGATTTATGGGTAATAACCTGGTTAAATTTTTAAGTCACAGGTAAAGTACTGACTTAATTACGATGTTGACAACTCCTAAACTTTAACCTCAGCCTTACCTTCCTTCTAAGACTCATATAAACAATTGCAAGCCTCAAACTGACTATATATCTACAACAGAACCCATGATCTTACCTCCTCAAATTGCTCTCCTCTGCACTACATTTGTAGTACAAACTTCCAGAAAAGAGACTGCTGATTCAAAAAGAATTTTGCAAAAAATATGCAATGTTTGATAGATACTGCCACAGGGTTTCCTTTCCTTCTCAAAGGGTTTGTGCACCAGCAATGTAGCTGTTTCTCTATGCTGTCATAGGATATGAAATGAAACGTCGGGGTATTTATAATCTGATAAATTGTAAATATTTAATCTGGTAGATAAAAAAAAGTGCCTTGTAGTTTAATTCATGTTCTAGTTATTATTTAAGCTTGGGCAGACTTTTTTTTTAAAGATTTATTTATTTGTGCATACAGAACTGGGGCACAGGCCAGAGACTCAGGGGTGGTGAAAGATTTCACCAGAGACAGAGTGGGGAGCAGATCAGGCAGATCGATGAAGTACACTGCTGAGGGGAGCAGAGGGCGGGTCAGGAGATGTCTGCCACACCATGTAGTCTCCTCCGGGGCAGGCGGGAATCGAACTCATGTGGAAGTGGTTTCAGCTTCTTAGTGCAGTGCTTTAACCCGCTGCGCCACCAGGGAGGGCCTCTTGGGCAGACTTTTATACATTTTCTTAAAAGATTTATTTAGGGCCCTCCCTGGTGGCGCAGCGGGTTAAAGCACAGCACAAAGAAGCTTAAGCCACTTCCTAGTCCCCGCCTGCCCCGGAGGAGATCCACATGGCCAGACAGACCTCTCCTGACCAGCCCGCTGCTCCCCTCAGCAGTGTACTTCGTCGATCTGCTTGTTCTGTACCCCACTCTGTCTCTGGTGCTCTGTGAATCCTCTCATCCTCCGCATCTCTGACCCATACCCCAGTTCTGTACAACTAAATAAATCTTAAAAAAAAAATTATATTTATTTATTCGTACAGGACTGGGTGGGGTACAGGTCAAGGTACAGGGGCAGTAAGAGGATTCGCCAGAGACAGAGTGGGGAGCAGGACAGGCAGTTTGACAAAGTACACTGCTGAAGGGAGCAGTGGGAGAGACAGGAGAGTTCTGCTGAGCCATGTGGATCACTTCTGGGGCCGGGGACTGAACTCACACTGATGTAGTTGCAGCTAGCTTGCAGTGCTGAGCTTTAACCTGCTGTGCCACCAGGGGGGGAGGCAGATTTTTATGTATTTTTTTAGGTAATTTGAAGTTCTTGTTTACTACCCAGTTTTCTATGAAGGCATTAGTCCAGGTTATTGACCAGTGGCAGTCCTTAATATACTAAGGAGATTTTCTCAAGTTTGTCTCTGGTTTTTGTCATACTGTTTTATCATGTAGAGTTTTATTTTTTATTTGTATATGTCAAATATATCAATATTTTCTTTCATGTTTTCTGGGTTAGTCAGTTGGAAAGGTCCTCTTCATTTCAAGATTATAAAGAAAAACTGCTCCACTCATCTTCTAAATTTTTATTGTTTCACTTTTGTATTTTTAAATCTTTGATCCATTGGAGATGTCCTGGAGTACAGAATAGTGATAGAAAAGTATAAAATGGACCATGTCTTTCTTTTGCTTAAAATTTCTTAATGGTTTTCTATTGCTCCTAAGATTAAATTTCAAATTTAATAGTTTTTTTTTTTTTAACTCCAATGTAATCTGGCTCTGTTCTTTCTGTAAAATCATTATCATCCTTCCTTTTGTTCTCTGAGTCTGACTGGGTTTCTTTAAGTTCCTTAAACTAGTTTGATTTCTTCATGTCTCAGAATTTTGCATGAGCTGTTCAGAACCAAAGTTAATTTTTTCTGTAATACAATGTTAAATTATTCTGGACTTTTTCCGTAGTACTAATTAACTGTTATACTTGTATAACTATGTGGTTAGTGGCTATCTTCCCTGCTAGATTACAAGTGCCATGACAACAGTTACTCTAAGCATTCTGGTCATTAACACAGCCTTTCTTCCCAAGGATAGTGGCTAAAATACAGCTTTAGAAATATTTGTTAAATGGAAAATAACAGGTGTAATGAAAAACTTTTTGATAGTATTTCACTTTTCCTGATTATTAGTTTATCAAATTTTTCCTGATCTATAATTTAATATTCTAAACAACCTATATAATAAAGAAGGAAATGCTTGTGCAAATGACTGATACCAGGAGTCCTATCGGACACAGAGCTCTTATGAATAAACTCCTTAGCCTTTTTGATGATGGCCAAGGAAAAGCAATCTATGAACTTTTTAACTTGTGCTGACAGAACACAATGTTCACCTCTATAATAAATATCAGGCTTAGAATCTATAATAAGTTACTTTTTTGATATTTTGTGTTAGGATCAGCAGTATATACCCAAGCAGACAGGTATCGGTGAACAGATGTGAAGTCATAGGGCTTGCCTAACAATTATGAATGCATTCAAAGCACCAAGTACAACTCACCTCTTGAAAGTTATGTTGAGTAAACTTGTCTGCTATTCTTAGCAACTCACGACATGAATGTGTGTCAGCAAAAGCTCGAATGCCCAGGCAGTTAGAAGGATCTAATTGTCTCTTTAAGAATTCACAACAGGCTTCCTGTATTTCTGCCAGCTGGAGGAGGCAAGCAGCTGGCAGAAGGGTCTGAACATTGCCCTCTTCCACAGTTATCTGGGAGGTATATGCAAAGTCAATCAGTAGTTCCATAGCCCTCTCATCTATGTCTCGAATCACTACTTCTGTCTGGCGGCTCTCAGCCAACTCTCCTGTAAACATAGCTCGGAAGTAGGGGCTACAGGCTGACAAAATGACTCGATGAGCATATATCTTCTTAGCGCCCACAACTAGCACCACATCGCATAACTCCCGGTGCTTTCTTAGGAGGTTAATCACTTCCAGAGTTTGTCGAGGGTGCTTGTCTGAGATGTAGGGCATGCGGGCAGGTTGGGGAACCCCTTCTGGCAGTTTGTTGGGGTCTCCAAGGGTGCAGCGACTTGTTACATCCATTCCAGTCTCTCCTGGTCGAATGTTGGTACACCTGCAGGAATGGGGATAGGGGAGAGAGAGGAGAAGATGGCATATTATCACTGCTGCTACAAAGTGTTCATACATCAAGAGTTAGGGATGTTTGCAAGTAACCCAAAGACAGAACAAGGTGGCCAAATGGTTCTCTTTTTAAGAATTCTGGAAGTTTCTTGAAGCATAAGAACCCTTTCAAATGTACTCCCATAAAACAAAGTACATATTTTAATCTCAAAAGTAGACAGACATCTTTTACAACTGTCTACAATGCCATTAATAAAGACACATAAAAAACATTTGTAAATGTTGTGGATAGGTTCACAAAAAACAGACTTAAGAATTTAATTCTTTAATCTGCTTTAACTAAAATCTTGAGATTTATCATTTTTCTAAGACACAAAAATGTTCACGTCTCATTATCAGAAGGAAAACTGGCCAGGGTCCAATAAATTAACTTTATATGTAGTACTATATTTCCTTTGTTCTAGTGCAGTTTTCACAATTACAATGGTCCTGAAGAAATAAAAACAAAACTAAAAGACAAATTCACAAATACAAGTAACTAAAAGTAGCATGTCAGTGGAGTGCTAAGGATAACTGCTGAGGGTCAAATATAATTTAGAGGATTCTATGAATAAGAGGAAAGCTTGGAATTAAACTCTGATACTGAAGAAACTGAGATATCAATTACTGGGTAAATACACACTATATTGTCAATATAAAAAGCTTTATATAATTATAATATTTATATTTCTAAAAAATTCTAATTAAATCAATCATGTTCATGTTAAGTGAGAAAATATAGAAACAACTAATTAGTTATTTATACTAGTCCCTAACACTTAGAAGAATCAAGTCAAATATTTCAGAAACTATTACAGGCTTAAAATTCTTTCCTTTGCATGAGTTGAAATGAGTCAAACCACACAGATCTTAAAATTTTTTATCAGATCTTAAATTAACACTTCTTTTTTCCACCCAGCTCTAATAGCTATGACCCTTGGACACAAGAATATTGTTACAGATTTGCCCCACTATTTGAAAGTATAGTTTTCCTATAAATCCTTTCAGAAATGGCATAAAGTGGGCTCTCCCTGGTAGTGCACTGCAAGTGAGGCGGCTGCTTTGGTGTGAGTTCGATCTATGCCCCAGAGGTGACCCACATGGCGTGCCAGACCTCTTTCGCTGCTCCCCTCAAAAGTGTATTTCAGTCACTCTGCCTGTTCTGCTCCCCACTCTGTCTCTGGTGAATCTTCTCACTGCCCCTGCTTCTCTGGCCCACACCCCAGTACTGTATGCATAAATAAATAAATCTTAAAAAAAGAAGAAGAAATGGCATAAAGTGTAGAGCAAATACCATTTACTTGGGAACATTTTTAGTATTCCTAGACCCAGAAAATAACCTACCCAATCACATAAAACCTAAAGTAACTAGTAAAAGCAAGAATGATATGATAAACATATAGTTTGTGTAAAGAAGTTCCCACCAAATGAGCTGGTGTAGCCACTCTTGCTGCTGGGGTGCACTGTGTCCTGCTTTTAGAATGGGGACTATAAAAAATATTCTGTCATGTGTCTTAAAAGCCAAAATCCTTCTGGGGTATCTTCCTGAAAGTAGTTGGTGAAAACAGGTACTAGTGCAGGTTTTTCATAAAAGTAAAGTAGCATAATAGGAAGTTTGGAAACGCCAGGGATACCTGTATCATAATTTTGACATTTATTAGGAGTCTGTGGAGCTTTAGTACCATAAAATTACAAAGCAGGGCTCTCCCTGGTGGCGCAATGGGTTAAAGCACCACACTAATGAAGCTCTCAGAAGCACGAGTTCAATACCCAGCCAGCAAGCTGACCCACATGGCTCCTGACCGGCCCACTGCTCCCCTCAGCAGTGTATTTCAGTCAGCCTGTTCTGTTCCCCTGTCTCTGGTGAATCCTCTCACCCACCACACCTCTGGCCTGTTCCTCAGTTCTGTAGGCATAAATAAATAAATCTTAAAAAAAAAATTACAAAGCAAATTCTGAAATCAGATAGACCTGGTTGAAATCCTAGTACCAACAATTTCTGGGCAAATTACTTTATGCTTTCTAATCCTCAGTTTCTTTAGTTCCAAAATAAGGATTTCTCCTTATAAGTAAAGATTAAAGAAGATAATTATCACAAAAACTTGTGTTTTGTATTTGCTACCTATTAGCATTTTTAAATTGTAGCTGTTACAGTAACAAAACTATATAATCTTTTCAGATAAGGTGACTATGCTTATCTATATTAAAGTCAAATTCAAGAGTTGAGGTGAAAAATCCTACATCCCTGCTCTTGATCTGATAGTTGTTTCTGTCTAAACTTATTGAGCTATCTGCAATGACTAATTCTTCCAAAAGTATCATATTATTTAAAAGTGAGTAGGTGGAGGCTTCCCTGGTGGCAAAGGAGCTAAAGTTTCAGTGCTATCAAGATATTGCAGTCACTGCAGCAAAATTCAATCCCCAGCCAGAGAGGTGACCCACATGGTGTAGCAGACCTCTCCTGTCCCACCCATTGCACCCTCAGCAGTGTATTTCAGTAGATCTATCTGTTCTGCTCTCCCCTCTGACTCTAGTGAATCCTCTCATCTTCCATGCCTCTGACCTACAACCCAGTTCTCATATGCATAAATAAAAAAAAAATAAATCCTTAAAAAAATTAGGAGTAGATGACTTCAGCATTACTGAAGTCTATTTCATGTGAGCCTCAAAAAGTAAACATCTGTGACAGTATATGGCAGTCCTATGACTGCCCTGAATGGGGCAGTATTATGTCCAAAGATGCAAAACTGAGAACACAGTACAGTGAAATACTATAGTGTTGAAAGAGCCCTCTGGGGAGGAAAGGAAACAAGCAGGGAAGAAGAAACTGCATTCACCTAACAAAGGCGTAATTTGAAAACAAAGAACTTGGTTCTCCTTTTTCCAATAGCAACCTGTTTTTCCAAAGTATTTATAAATTTAATCTTTCTGTGCTTGGCTTCAGCTTGTAGGTGAGTCCGTATCTTAGAGTACAAGCTGTTCATAATTCCAAACAGTAATGTTTATGCTTGATGATTTAGAGACTGAAAGCTGAGTAAAGAATAATTTTTATCACTCACATAAACAAACAAGAAAGCTTTCAACTGTAGTGCTTAATGGTGCCTTGTATGTAGTAGATGCTGGAAGATGCTGGATGTACCATGGTTAGCAGTGGTATAGTCTATCTAGCTTCTTTAAAAATGAACCACCATTGATTTGTGATGGGAAGTCCAAGGGGATTACTACTGAGATGGAAAAATACACAAAATGATGTAAAAATAAACTATATTATTTAAAAAAATAGGAATAGTCAAAATAATTTAAATAAAAAAGAGTAGGCTTTTCCCAACTAGAATGTAAGCGTCTTAAGAACAAGGCATTTGTTCTTTTGCTCATTGTTATATTCCAATGCCTTAATCCAGTGCTCATTAAATACTTAACTGAATTCAACTTTTCCTCCTGCCAAAATAAACTACATCCTCCAAACTTGTCCAGATCTCTTGAAAAAACTTTAGGTTTGTAGCCAGGCAAACAAGTTCAAACTCTTAGCCCCATCATTTATTAATCATAATCTTAGGCAAATAACTTCTTTGATCCTCAAGCTAATCATTTGCAATGTGGGGATAATTATATCAACCTCACAAGGAGTGAATCTTGAAATTTGTCTGAATGTAGATTTTGACTCCAAGCTTTCTGGAGCAATAAGATCAAGTATTTTAAACAGAAACGGTAGGGTCCCCATGGTGGTACCACAGGTTGGAGTGCAGCATTATGAAGCAGAAATGACCCTAACAATCTAATTTATGTGGCTGTTAATCATAGGTAGAAGGAAAAGCATGGCTGTACTATGTTCTTATTTTAGAAAAAGAAATAAGAACAGGGATCATTCGTATGTTGAGTAAGGCATACATCACTGTAAATACTCTAACTTGTATTCAATATTTGCAATTTAAGTCTAGACACTTGTATTTAATTCTATGTATTATTTCTCCTGCAACTCTACTATTTTTGTGAATAAGTACTTAAAAAGGTAAGTTCACACCCTCTATCATCATCATTATAACCAAAGGATTCTACTGGCAGAGAAGTGTTGTTTTCTGCCCTTTTTTTCTGGGCACCCTTGAGGAAAATTAGAAATAGACTGTGTTCACACCTTGTCACATCTATATTCACTTCTTTGTTGGGAGTCTGATGGAATAACACTTTAGGGACTTGAGGGGTAGAGTGGTAACTTGGAGGGTGAGCTACTCTCCAAGACAGATTCAAGCCCTAAGAAAAGTTTTTATGAAAGACTTAGTAAGCAGAGTAAGCTTATTGTCTAAGTAAAAAATCATCTTGAGAAACTAGAGGTTCTTAAATTATTTGCTTTTTCTGTGGATTTCTATCCCAATACTAAACTAATGATATTACAAATACACAAAAGTGTATTTTATCATCAAGTCTCAACTTTCACATAAACTTGTAAATAAATTAGCTGAAACATCTTGTCAAAACTGATCATCAAACTATAGTAATAGACTTACTATTTTTTTAGTAACAGATTTATAGTCCATGATTTATAGAGAGTTTCTTTAGCAGGGTGTTAACAAGGAACAATGTAGCTTTATATACTGGTAGTACTAGTGAGAGAATGGGCCATTGCTAGAGAAAAGTTGATCTGCAGAAGTTATACTGGAGAGAGAAAGAGAAGAGATGATTATCAAGCCAAATCATCAACTAACCCTAGTGTGAACCTTCCTTCTGGCCTTGTTACCATGTAAACATAAGACTTCCAAATTGATTAAGGCATTCTGAGTTAGGGATTTTTGTTATATACAGCCCAAAACATTCAGATACCAAAAACACAATATATATATAAAATGTGAAACAATACAATTAGTTACATAATCTAATAATAACCAAACTGAATACAGAAATTTGCCCTTGCTTTGATTGGTCTATTAGTTAATCCCCTTATATAGAGTTTCTTCACCA